GCGATTTCAGTCAGGTTGAAAATCGCCCAGAAGTCTCTCATAGCCTGTCATGTAAAATCTTTTTTTTTCAAATATCAGAGCTTTCAATACAATCTCTATGGGTTTCTGAGGGCTTGCACTTACGCGCTTTCGTCATACGTAACATAACCATGAACGTAACTAAGAAAAGAGCGGGTAGCAGCGTCAATCAATTCACGTACTACTATCAAGATGGCTAGCCTTCAGTGCAACTCGATTGTCTCTTTGAAAGAAGTTCACATCAAAGACCATTCAAAACGAGCTACTGTAACTGGAGTGTATGCTAGCGGTCATGAGGGAACATATTGTGGAGGAGGTGAAGTCGGCGAACTTCGTAGCTATCCAAGCTGACGAGACCACGGACGTTTCTACACAGATACAGCTGGTGCTTGTGCTGAGGTACATAGATAGCAACCACAAAGTCCAGGAGCGCTTTTTTGAGTTCCTTCCCATCTCGGAATCAACCTCAGTCTCAATCGCCAGTGTGCTTTTGGAGAGACTGAACGGTCTTTTTGCCATTCAATGGGCCAGGAACGTCTGAATGCACTGGCCATGCTTTCCATGGAGAGTGAACTAGTCCTCAGCATGCCTGATTTCAATGAGAAAGTCATTGACCGCTTTGCTGCATTGAAAGAGAGAAGAGAACAGTTTCAGTACAAGTAATGTAGCCTCTCTCTCTCTTTGTCCCTCCCTGTCTGTCTCTTTAACACACACACGCCCAAATCAGTTCACAGTTGATGTTGTTTAAAATAGTTATTTTTCATTTTAAAAAAAGTTTAAAAAAAATAATAATCTGTTCATGTTCATTTTTACAAATCTATACAATTGGCCAGAATATGGTTGTTCATATTTACAAATCTATACAATTGGCCAGAATATGGTTGTTCATTTTTACAAAGCCATACAGAAAGCTGTGTTTACCTTTTCTATAAATTATTTTCAAATTCTGTTTTCAGGCAAAATGTCTCACTGTTCATTTTCACAAATCTATACAAGAGGGCAGAATATGGAAGTCTATAAAAATTTCTTATTACCAATAACTTGCATCAATGTTTTCAGTAGCCTCTATCAAAAGCTCCTGCTTGCTTGTTGTGAATTATGCTCAGGTGCACATATTTCCAATTCAACCATGAGGCAAAAAATGTGGTAAAAGCTCTTGTTGATCCTGCAATCTGAACAAATACCAAGATGCTGTATTTTCAGCTGATATTTAATTTGTTTATGGAAATGCATATTGTTTATGCAGTGTTGAGGAATGTGAAAGAACACCCTTGATTATTTTTACAGTGATAACTTATTTTGCTTTTGTAAGCCAACACTTTTGAGATCAGTCAATAAATGCTTCTGGCATTGACTTATATGCTGCCCCTGTCTTCATGTTGTTGCTGGACATATCTTTTTTAAAATGTGTGTAGGTCACCTAAATCATCAGAAAAATTGCCCCCCCTGAGAATTTTTTCAGGAGCCGCCACTGCTCATGACCAATGGAAAATTATAGAGAAATTGAGAAATAAAATCAAAGAAGAAAGGTGTGTGATACATTGATGCCCTTGGTCTTACCTTTCCTAAAGATGTTCGAGCCCATATCCTTTTGAAAATCTTCAATAGCGGCTCCAATATAGTAAATAGCCACTGATAATATCAACACTTTTATGGGAGATAACATAGCTCTTGTTCCTTTTTATACACAACAGCAATGACAACTAAAATAAACATGATCATTAATTCGAATATCTATTTTAGGTTGTCAAAATTACTTTCATATAATCGCATAATTAAAAATGTATATTTTGTTGGTGAAATGCTGTCTTGTTTTAGGCAGTCTCGAGACAGTAGATGCTTCAACTGTTTCCCGCGACTTGAGCATCACCGGGATGTTCCACCTTGTGTATTTTGGGGAATGTCTCCGCCCACTGTAGGCTGCAGACCAATAGTATTGCGCCATTGACATCTTTATTGCACAGTAGACGCCTTCACCCATCCTAAGTCAAACCTCTCTTATACTGTAAATGGACATCAGCTGTGCTCTTATTCAATAAACTAATCATTTTACAGCTATTATACATATTGAGGCCTGTTTGTTTCATTTTTTTTTATTCAAGGACCTTGGCTTCATACAAAATGTAAATGTAGAAACAACTGCAGAATTCAAAGTCTGACCAATAAACATAAATCAGGCAACAAACAACTCAGACCCAAATAAGGAATGTCCCAGCGCTGTTGCATGGCTGGAACTATCAACATCGTTCAATACTATATTAATATAAAGTATTTTTCTTCAACAAACCCCACAGTGTATATACCAAAGATCAATAAAAATTAACAAGAAATGAATACATGTTATCAAAAAAAGTACTACGATTTTTACATGCACAAACATTATCAGAACATGCAATCATTCTTTTCTCCAGAAAACAGCCACATGTACACTGCAGTTGGTATGCAGAGAGAGAAATAGGAACAGTTCAATGTTTGGCAACCAACTGTTAGAGACTTTGGCGTGGATATGTTTCTTTTGAAATAGTACAGAGGCCGTAGAGATGAAGGAAGAGATGATAGTAGAAGTATATGGTTTTGACCCACTACGGCAACATGTCAAGGGGAAATAAATGAATGTACCTGTACAAGAATGTGGATAATTTTTACCATTACAGTTTATTCAATGTTTATGAACACCCTCCTCTGGACTGATCCCCCCCTCTTCGGTGACCTAACATGGAACAGATAACCATTAGTATGACATTGTTAACTTACTTTTTAAGACACAGGTTTTCCTTTTGACATCGTCAACATGGGTAAATTGTATGCATGCAAATATATAAAGTTGCTGTATTTCTAAATATTCTCTTAATTTCTGCTTTACTCACCGTGCCTTATGCATTTTAAAATACATGTTTTATACATGTTTGAAAACTTTTTATAAAGATTTGGTCACAATCATGCTGAAGCATGAATCTGGAGATCTCAGCATGTATAGCGACAGTATGGATGAAGTATATGATCAAAGTGTCTTCTTGTTGCATAGCCCTACTTTCTCTGTCATCAAAACCCTGCTTCTGGGAAATATGCAGTACAGAACCCTGATGAGTGTGCAGTCATGGCAACTCCTGGCCCCACCTACTGTATCTCCAATACTATCAGTAATTGAGCAACACTTTCACTGGAGTAGAGCATCCTTTATACAGCATACATTGCCACATTCCACCACCAACGTAGAATAGAAAAGAACAGAAACCCTTAGCTATCCAAGCATTAGATCATCCATCCCAGGGCAACACATTTTTTTATCATATTGTATTAACATCCATATAGAATATCTGAAGCTTTTTAGAGGCAGATGTGAACCATCACCATCAGCGGTTGCCATGGCTGGGTAGATAGAAATATTTATGCTATATCTGCTATCTGCTATATCTGACGGGCTTAAACCTTAACATAGAGGGGTCTGAGCTAATGGGGAGACACAGAGGGGTCCAGTGTGCTGGTGCCAGGGGCTCGACTCAGCATATACACTCTCATTAGGGATCTGCATCTATCTCTGCTTCTCAAGCACATCCCTCCAAAAAGTGCACACTGTTTGTTTGTCATCTGATTCCTTATGTTCTATACTAACTCTGCAGTTATAGCACTGAAACAGAAGGCAATACAGTAGCTTGCGATGCTTTTGCAGTTGACTAACCTCGCCAGGAAAATAAATATACATTACTACATCTTCATAACTGTCGTGGACAAGGTTTATGATTTAAACATGCAGTGTTACTCTGATTATGTCTTCCTAACTGGATTGATATGCTACTAATGCATTTTTCATGTTTGTTAAGTGTTCATATTATGATTTTGCCCCAACTTTCGTTGTCCCCACTCAAATTGATTAAATATATTTACCAAACGGAAAATCATACAAGAAAATGATCAGCAATCATAAGTTAATTAATAGTTTCCATTCAAAAGCATTTCTTTTTCTTAAATAAAAGTTGTCGTTTCTCAGATAAGGCTTTCTGTACATCTTGCTCTCCTGCAGAACTACCAAACAACTACTTAAGTGTTGATGCATTACAAAAACAGTTGACTTTGCATCTTTACTACAGTATGTCTAAAAGGACAGGCACTTTGTTTTAAACATCTGAAGCAGACAGTCTGTAAGAAACATTAGACCTGAAATGATGGCAAACTTTAAGCAATTTACATAAACAAAGTTGTTTTTACAAGATACAAAAAATGCACATAATGAAAAGATAACATCTACAATAATTGTATATAAAACAAATCACATTTCATTTCATTTCCTCTCCTCAGTTCTCTGAATTTGTAGTAGTGAAGTTTGCAACGGTAAACAGTAGCAGATCAACAATCACTGTCTGTAATGACAACATCGATCCCTCTACTCTATCAGGCTGTATCTTCTGACAGAAAGGGAATGTCATATATAGGATTAGGCTACTGTAAATCCCTTTATATCATGGAATGGTAAGAGTAACAAAGCAATGCAGAATAGCTGTTGTGCAGTTTACTTTCAAGTGCCTTTCTTAGGGAGGTTTGAATAAATCTCTCTGACTATTTCCTTATCATGTGTTGTTACACATACTAAACAATACATAGGTATCACTCTGCTCATCACAGAGACAGCAAAGAGGCCTGCTGCTCGCCCATCTCTATTGTGTGTAGCTATTTGGGTCACTATCATTTTTTAAGTTGGATATTTTCAAAATAATAGCCCTCAATAAAATATGCCACTGTCTTCAGTGCATAAGACAAAGAAGGATCAAACTGAATTACAAACAATTTACTGAATCCAATTTAATTTTCATCCAGTTCCTAAAAATGGTGCTGCTTTGTTCACATTAAAATGAATTCCAACCCTTCCTTGGCTTCCATTAGCTTTACATACAGCAACAGTGTTAACTAAAGCCTTCAAAAAAGATGATAAAACTCATCATGATTCCTCAAAAATGCAATAAAAACATCTGTTCAAAGCCATGCTAGCACCATTCCTCCTCCTCTGCCTCGTGGTAGTATCTGGGTGCCCTGGCGCCAGAGCCAGAGCCCAGGCTGGCATTGGCATTACCACCAAAGGTGAAGTGGTATCCGTTGGGCACTGCACCGCTCTGCTGGGGTGGTGGAGGCAGGTGGAGGGGCCCCGGCCCCATCTGAGGCAGTGCAGTCCGAGGGGAGCGTGCTCTGGCAGCATAGGGGCTCAGCAGCTCGTCCCGGAGGCTGCAGTACAGGCTGCCCTGGCCCTGGGGTTCACTGTGACAGTAGCCCAGGAAGGGCTCGGAGCTGATGCGGGTGACGGGGGAGGGGATGTGGGAGGAGCCACTGTGCAGCAGGGCGTTGTGCTCGGACAGCCCGCGGCTCAGCCGGCCAGGACTCAGGGTGGGCAGGCCGCTGCCACACTGGGCAGACACAAAGTGCACAGGGGAGGAGTTGGCAGTCTTGTAGGCCACCCCGGGTCGGGGGGTCAGGGGGGTCTGGGGTAGCTGCCTGCGTCCACGGCTGGGTGTGCTAGCCCCTGAGGTCATCATCACTGGGCTGCCTTTAACCGAACCACTACCCTAGATGAAAATTGGACAAAGCAATTTAAAACAATAAAAACGATGAGGTCATGGTCACCAGAAGGAAGATAAAGACACCAAAATCAGATGGAGAGGAGAGAGAGGACAGTGGGAGTGGACAGACGACACAACCAAGAAGGACAGGGCAGTCATTGATGGGAGAAAAAAAGAAAGGAGAAGAAGACAGACAAAATGGACAGAAAATGGTGAATAAGAAGAAGAAAAGTGGAAAGAGAATTGAAAGGCCATGAGTGGTTGTACTACAGGCAGAAAGAAGAGAAAGTTGAGTTTCAGCAGAGGCAGAACGGGAAAGCAGACAGATCCTCATCAGAGAGTTGCACACAATATACACTGTGCTGTACTAAATCAGACAGACATATACTTACTGATAATGTGTAGTGTGTGTATTATTCAGATTCTCATTGTCATTGCATACCTGATTCCTTCCCATGCTCTGCTCATATCATATCATGCCTACAGTATACCCTGCCATGTTTTGTCCTGCCATATCCTGCCGTACCCATACTGTGCCCTGCACTGCCCATATCCTACCCTACCCTACCCATGCCCTCCCACCTGCTTGTTGATGCTGGGGTCCTGCACCTCGATGGGGGAGGTGGCACAGCTGGCAGTGGCAGACTTGGTGATGTGGCAGTGTTCCCTGCTGCCGTAGCGATCGCAGGAGTAGTAGCGCTGCTTCTCCCCCGCTGTTGAGTGGTGCTTCCTCTCATGGGAGCGGCCGCGGTCCTGCACCCTGTCTCTAGACGAGGGCTCTGCAACCGGGTTACCTGGTGTACCTTAGTGGGAATACAAAACAGGCTTAGGGTTAGGGTTATGGCCAGGGTTAGGGTTGTGGTTGAGGCTAGGGTAAGGGCATAACCCATAACCCTAACCTATCCCAATCTTGGCATAACCCTAACTCTAACCCTAGCCATATGTTCAATCCTGGCCTCAACCTACTGTAACCCTAACCCCCCCCCTCTGAATTCCCCCATTCACCTCTGAATTCCCAATTCAACCCCTGATTGCACCCAGCATATAATACCTCACTCTGAAAGAGAAGATTCTTAAACACTCACAAAGACCAGACTACTAGCACACCAAAGGCTTTTCTTCTTCTAAGACAAGAGGAGCCCATAAATTAGCAGGTCATTGGGTGTGCATGTCTGTCAGTCCCTTTTATCCGTGTGATAAAGGCCAGCTGCAGAGCTCCATTCTAACACCCAGGCCTGAACGATGCCTCCATGAAGCCCAGAGCTGATCTCTATAGATGAGCCCCAGCCGGCTGGGCTGTGGTCTGCTTCTCACTCTCTGACTGGATGGAAGGCAGTAAGGTAGAGATGGCTACACATTCACACTCTAGTAACAGTGGGGGACAGTGAGCTGCAGGTCTTAATGGTCAAACTCCCACATTTTGTGATCAGGGTATTGGTGGTGGGCACTCATATAACATACATAACAAGACCCCCTTTTACCTCACCGATAAAGTGATCTGTGTATTGCACATTTAAAACATGATTGGCATTACTGGAGCAACAATTGCTCTATATAAACTGGCAAAAATAATATTCCCATGTGTTCCAAGAATATGATTGAGCACAATCTTTGATGTGTGTGTGTGCTTGTAGTGTGTGTGTGTGTCACTGTGTATGTGTGTAGTGTGTGTGCACTAACCAGCGGTGCTTGGCGTCCTGTTGAGTGACCGCTGCTTCTTGTCCCTCTCTCTGCGGTGGTGGCAGCGGTGGTGGTGGTGGTGGTGAGGCCTTTCCTGGATGCTGGGTGTCTCCAGGGTGTAGTCACGCATGTTCACCTCTTGGGGGCGCTGGTGAGCATGGGTGGACGCAGAGCGCGTCATTGGGCTGCAGTCAGGAACAGGCTGTGTGGGACCAATGAGGAATAGGGATCACTGACTAGTCTATGGAAATTTCCATCGCTGCTATGCTCAGTGAAATGAGACCGGTTCTACAGATGTTGATCTCTTCTCCATCTATACGGTCTCTCAAGGCACATACTGTTCTTTGAGCTGCAGTTTTTTCATTGTGTATTGAACTTACTTTTTTGAGAAATTGTATCTGTTTTAAAAGTGAACTAGTAATTATCAAACTGGATTCCTGATCATAAAATGAGAGTTGAGTGTATGGGATAAAGGAGACGTATGCACCTCTCTGACTCTATTGTGAAACACAATTTCCACCTAGTGGAGACACATCTGTCCTACAGAGCCTCACTGCAAAACATACTACTCACATTTTCAATGTCCTCAAAAATATAGCCACCTAGATAGATTGCTGTTGGTAAAATCATAGACACGGCTACCAATTTCCCTAAGTCTTAGTTGGCTGCTTGAGGATAAGAGCATCAAAGGGGAAACTGAAGCAATGGTTCCACCAGTGGCAGCAGACCTGTCTCTCTTCAAAACAGCTCCATGAATCACTAGTTTACTATTGACCAAATCCATAGGCTTGGTATCTAAGAGCAGGTTGGAGTGGGCAGCTGTGTTTTAATGAGAGTTGTTCAGTCCCCATAGAATGATGAAAGGAAGAGACTCCTCTGTGAGACACTCACTGTACCTGGCTAGACCTTTGATTTACAGATTTCATCGAGCTTAACTCTCATCCTAAAATAACACAGTATATCTCTCATATTGTATATGATAGAACAGCAAACATGTAGACTTATGCTTGCGGAACCTAGCATTTTACACAATATATTTTTACACATACTAATACATTGGGATCAACAAACAAAGTAGATGTGGTGAAGAGGAGATACTGAGGGAGAGGAGACAGAGGTACATACGGCCAGCAGGGTCCCCGGGGAATGGTGTGACTGGCTCCTCTGTCACACAGCGGAGAACGAGGAGGAGGAGGAGGAGGACCATGGGAAGGCATCAAGCCAAAGAGACAGGAGAGAAAATGAGGTGTAGACGGAGAGGGTGACATTGAACAGTTAGAAGAAGAATAGAGGAGAAGTAGCAGGAAAATAACAGAGGTGTCATTACATGCTTATTAAAAAGAAATGATCCCCTTGTAAATATGACATAATCATGGTTAAAGGGCCACTGAGGGCATTTGCCTTTCAGTACACCCTTTTATAGAAAGGGTAAATCGGTGATATCTCATTGTGTTTCAGCACCTGGCCATAAGACAGAATTACCTATTCCAACCAGACAGAAACGGTATTTATGTCTTTTGATACACAATGCCCCATATCTATCAGCATACAGCCTAGATTCCTTGACCATTAATACTAAGATATCCTAGAAAACATATCTGTCTCTTTAGCTTTTGTTCTTGTGAGTCTAGCTTCTGACCTAGCAGAGGATAAGTCTATGGGCTAGAGCTGCCCCTAGGGAATCAAAAATGTTTCATCCATATTAAGAGGTGCTGAAACCACTAAATCAACATCAATTGCCTCTTATCATCCAGCACTCCAGTTTAAAGAGATTTTGGCTGGGCTTAGCTTCTCGCTGCGCTTCTTTGAGAATGAGACAAGGGGCATTTTCCCTCTCTGAGAGGCTTCAGGTGAGGGTTCATGTCTACCCTGGGTGTCACATGTCACTACTGCACAAAGAGGATGTTGAGGAGGTGGAGGCAGGCTGGCTGGGAGATTTCACGCCCTGATCCTGTCTGGCACCATGGAGCAGGAAATGAGGCATTACCCCAAAAGGGGATGAAATGTAATTAACCGATGGAAAACCAAGCTGGAGAGAGAGTCTGTTTCAGGGTAGAGTTCAGACTACGTGCCTCCCCATTTCACTCTATCTCAGAAAGGCCAACTCTAATTGTATTTGTTGAAGGATTTCCTGCCCTCGTTAGAAAAAGTGAGAAAAATTAGACAGCAGGTCAAGAAGCAAACCCCCTCTCCTCTCATCCCATTTATCCCCCTCTTCACATTCTCTATCCTATAGTAACATGATTACGCTCTTCCTCCCTGAACGCATGAGGGATCACCCCTTTCATTTTCTACCCACAACCATTTTGAGACACAATAATTCTTTATTTTCTTCTGTTGGCAGCAGAGGAAAAACGATACAGGACAAATAGTTGGCGGTCTTCCAGGCTCTAATCAAATTATTCAGGACTTCTTCTGTGCACTAAAAGTAGGATCAACACGCATTCATTCTAATTGGCCTCTGAAAGGAATGCACTTAAATGCAACAATCGATCAACATCAATATCACTCAGGAAATGAGTGATATTATATTTCTTGGGACGAATTGAAGGATTCATTTTTGTTCTTTTTCAGCAGTTATACTGCAGTAATATTGGATGAAATTGAACCCCCCATTGAGATAGCCACCTGACCATAGTAATCTGCCCGCAGTATAGCCACTGATGTGTAACAAAATGCAACCATGCTTTCTCCAATAGAGTTTAGTTATGGCATGGCGCATCTGCTGTGCTTCACAAATGATGTGTGTGTGTTAGGGTGTGTCTTTACCTGCAGCTCTGTGTTGAGGCGGGGCATGGACACAGCCCTCCCCTGGCTCTCCAGTCCAGACCCAGGACCAGGCACAGTGCTGTCACTGGTGTCCAGCTTCCTCATCTCCACTGACTCCTGGAGGACGTAAGACACACACATAAGCATGCATGCACACATACATGCAAGCGCGCACACACACACAGGGATAATTGCTTGCATACAGATAAGTACATCCAGTCAAGTTAAGTACTAGGAACAGATACATCAGGTGAGAAAATGCAGGACGCAGGCCATGATGTTCATGTGTGTAATACAGCAGAGGGCAGTCTGGACTGGCTACAGTACCTGGGGAATGGTTGTATCTGGGACATCTTCAGATTGGCCCCTTTGGACAGTTTTCTTACTCCTGGGTCTGTGGACCTCTCTTGACTTCTCTGACACCCAGGAGGACGATCCTTTCATGGTACTGTCATGGCCTGGCCTGAATTGTTCATCATAAACAAATGTAGATGTTATTGTCATACAACGACTAACTGATTGTAAATTAAAACAGTTTTTTATTATCATTGATGGTAACGTCACGGCTTTGTCAAAGTCAAAATACAGATAGAATTGTCATAAACGTTAGAATTTTTTTAAATTGTTTTAGACACTACCCGCTTGCTAGTGAACTCACAGTGTGCCTCCGTTGTTGAGCAGTGTGGCGCTGGGTCTAGGTAGGGCCTGAGGCTGGGGCTGAGGAAGTAGCTCACAGGGATGCTCCATGTTGAGCAGTGTGGCGATGGGTCTAGGTAGGGCCTGAGGCTGGGGCTGAGGAAGTAGCTCACAGGGAGGCTCCATGTTGTTCATGGCCTTCTCCTTCTCCTGCTTGTGAGCCAGCGGCAGTATTGGTTTAAACAGAGCCCCCACCTTACCCTGTGGATGAAAGATGGCAAGATGCTTAACATACTGAACATGCACAATATTGATCCAGGTCTCTGCCTCCAGCATATAGTCAATCAGGGGTGAAATGTGTGCCTCCTGGGCATCAGCAATAATGTGTGTGTGTGTGTGTGTGCATGTGTGTGTGATACCTGGGAGCCGGCAGCATTCTGTTGCTGTTGCTGCTGTTGCTGCTCCTTGAGCCTCTTGGCTCGGTTCTGCTTGTAGTAGTCAAAGATCATCAGGGCTGCATACACCTTCCCAACAGTAAGCTCATTGGCTGAGAGAGGTACAGAGGGGAGTGGTTGAGGAAAACTTCTGATTCATCCATTATCTCATCCATCTGTATTGGTCTCATCCAAACTCTCTGATGCCAGTTTATTGCCAATACAATTCAGTCACACCAGAGGTATCACTTGAAACAATGAGGGATTTAGCTGTTTGAAGATAATTGGTGCATGCCAGGAGTGAAGAAGCATCTGTCTAAAATGCCATTGTTCTCAGGTGAGATGCTTAGATCCTGCCACAAGATGTCAGTGGAGGCAAAGCAGATGACTGGAATCTTAACTGATGGCCAAGTGAGATCAGAGGTCCTGGCTGTCATCTACCGTTTGGAAGGGGATCAACTCTTAAAAGAGCAGCAAGTATATTTTTTGTATTCAATAAGAAGCTGTTTGTATTGTCTTGCTAGGGCAATTTAATGTGCGCTGTCTTTTACCTAGTAGCCTAGTTAATCATAACTGTCTGATTGCTCAGTACTTGTGACTGTTGTTGTAGACTTAGATTAGTTTCAGGCCTATTTGTGTAACAGTCCTGCGAATTTGTGGGCGTGTTATATTGTAGGGAGTGTTCTCTTCACCTCTGCTAAGCAATCAACAATCAAACCGAGTTGTTCTGCAGAGTTATTTGAGGAAGGAAAGCGAGGAAGGAAAGCGAGGAAGGCTCCACACCACTCTCTCACTTGATTATCTTATCTAGTTATTTTCTGATGATCTCATTTGACTATTTTATAGCTTTGCCAAGTATGTGTGTGTTTCCCATCCCTGTTAGCTCCTCTCCCTGTAGGTTTTACAGACGCTCCCGACCCTGTGGCTGCAAACCTTCTAATTTAGTGTATCCTGCGCACACTACCCATGTGGAGTTCCTAGTCTCCGGCAGAGTTTGAAACTGCCGATCTGTGGTCAATAAGGCTGAGTTAATCTCAGCCTATGTTCCCCTTCAGTCCCTACACTTTTTGGCCCTGACAGATACATGGATTTCCACAGATAACACTACTACTCCAGCTGCTCTCTCATCATCTGACTATGTGTTCTCTCATAGTCCGAGAGCATCTGGTCATCGCGGTGGTGACACAGGGCTACTCATTTCTCCTAAGTGGAGATTTTCTCTTCTCCCCTCTCTCACCTGTTTATCTCCTCATTTGAATTCCATGCTGTCACTGGTCCACTCAAGCTTAACATTGGTGTCATCTATCACCCACCAGGTGACCTTGGAGAGTTTCTCAATGAGCTTGACACCTTGATAAGCTAATTTCCCGAGGATGGCTCACCACTTATCATACTGGGCGACTTTAACCTCCAGACGCCTGGCTTCAAATTAATTTATTTCCACCTCGTTTTCTTTCCACTCCTTTCGTCTTTAGACCTCACCCTTTCCCAGTTACCTCCCAATCACAAGGCAGGCAATATGCATGACCTCATCCTCACTAGAGGCTGTTTGCCTACTAATCTCACTACAACCCCGCTCCATGTCTCTGATCACTACTTTGTTTCCTTTTCTCTCCATCTTTCCTCCAACCCTACCGACTCAGCCCCTACCCAGATGGTCATGCGCCGCCGCATCTTCGATCTCTCTCTCCCGCCACTCTGTCCTCTTCAATCCTATCCTCTCTTCTTTATGGTAAATCCTTCTCCCTCCTGTGTCCTGACTCTGCCTCTTCGACCCTACTCTCCCTCCCTTTATGCATCCTTTGACTCTCACTGTCCCCTTTTCTCCCAGCCGGCCCGACCTTCCCCTCCCGCTCCGTGGCTGAGTCACTCACTGCATGCTTACAGAACAGGGCTACGGGCAGCTGAGCGAAAATGGAGGAGAACTAAACTTCTGGAGGACCTATCATCCTTCCACTCCCACTTCTCTACCTTCTCTTCCTCTGTATCCACTGCTAAAGCTGCTTTCTATCACTATAAATGTCAAGCTTCTGCCTCCAACCCTAGGAAACTCTTCTCCACTTTCTCCTTCCTCCTTAATCCTCCTCCCCCTCCATCCTCCCTCTCTGCAGATGACTTTGTCAACCACTTTGAAAAAAAGGTTGACGACATCTGCTCCTCTTTCACTCAGCCTACTGAGTCCACTGGTCCCACTCACACAGAACTACCCTACGCCTTGACCTCTTTCTCCCCTCTCTCTCCAGATGAAATCCCCACCACCTCAAGCTCAACCTCAACAAAACGGAACTGCTCTTCCTCCCGGGAAAGGCCTGCCTGCTCCAAGACCTCTCCTTCATGGTTGACAACTCCAAGGTGTCCCCTTCCCAGAGTGCAAAGAACCTTGGCGTGACCCTGGACAACACCCTGTCATTCTCTGCACACATCAAAGCAGTGACTCTCTCCTGCAGGTTCATGCTCTACAACATCCGTAGAGCACAACCTTTCCTCACACAGGTAGCGGCTTAGGTCCTAATCCAGGGACTTGTCATCTCCCGTCTAGACTATTGCAACTCTCTGTTGGCTGGGCTCCCCACTTGTGCCATCAAACCCCTGCAACCAGAATGCCGCAGCCCGCCTGGTGTTCAACCTTCCTAAATTCTCCCATGTCACCCCACTCCTCCGCACACTCCACTGGCTTTCAGTCTAAGTTCGCATCATCTTCAAGACCCTGGAGCTTGCCTACGGAGTAGCAAGGGGAACTGCTCCTCCTTACCTTCAGGCTATGCTCAAACCTTACATCCCAACCTGAGCACGTTCCATCACCTCTGGTCTCTTGGCCCTCCCACCCCTACTCAGCCCAGTCAAAGCTCCTCTCTGTCCTAGCACCCCAATGGAGGAACAAGCCTACCCCTAAAGTCAGGACAGTGGAGTCCATGCCCATCTTTTGAAAACATCTGAAACCCTACCACTTTGAAGAGTATCTTAAATAACTCTCACGGGACAATGTACTTGATACGATTGTGATATATAATGTTGTTTCAGTGAGGAGTCTGGGGCTCGCCACTTTAAGACGTGGCATAAATAGAATCACACACACTCCAGGTATCCTTCTTGTAAAGATGAAATATATCAGTGACATAAAGCAAGGATCAGAGAGGACTGTCATGCAGAGGTGATTACGTTTGTGTGGTGTCACCAACAGATCCATAGTCTTCTGTGAAAGGCTTGGCCAAACCGTAGAGAGCTCTTTCTTCAGTTCAGCATCAGAAAGACGCTGGGCAACCATCCCTGAGGAGAAGATCGCAAGAGAAAATAGAATATTCTAGCATCAAATACACACAATTATCTAATTTAAGTATAATAAAGACAGAAAAGTAAACATGAGTTTGCAGAGTCATTGTGGAGGTGAACCAGAGAGAGAATAGCTTATTAAAAGTGGCAGTGAGCAGTGAAGCTAGAGAAAAGCATATTGCACTGTGCCATCCTTCAACTCTGCAGTACAGGCCCTAAACACAAAACCCACCACAGAGCAGCCTAATGAGACCAAATGGGACCCATATCTACTAATGCAAACCCTTCTGTAAGCAACAAACAAGCAGCATATGTCCCTGCAACACATGCAGGGGACATCACAACACCTGTCTGTCTGTCTAGGAGGACAACATGTGACGGACGGCTAAATCTAACATTTACAACTAGTGTTTGTTGCTTTTGCTTGAGTTGGCCTCATCAAGTTGGCCTCATGATAGCCGAGGTATGCACCTCACCTATCATGTATCACACATTCTGAGGGTGTTGGATTGTGGAACTTTGGCTGAGGGTACAAGGGAGAGGGGACAGGGTAGGGGGGCAGAGGAGAGGGGACAGGGGGACAGGGGAGGGGGCAGAGGATAGGGAGAGAGAGAATGGCGGTCTCACCTGAGGATAGTTTGATCTCCAGGGCCGTGCGGATCAGGGCCATGAGAGTGGAGGTAAAGTGGACTGTGTTGTCATCAGCGATGGGCATGTTCATCTTGACTAGCCGCTGGAGAGAATGTGTGGACGGAGGGGGAGGTTAGAAACACACTTCTACTGTTAACGCTTCATCCAGACCATCAGCCAATCAGGAGAAACAAGTCTGTGTGCTGGTAATATTCACAGAGTATTCTCATGTATATTCAGTGCTTTACCTGCTTTTATTTCAACAATACAATAAAATATGATATATCAGATTTTTTTCTGGTAAATGAATCATTTGGAAGGCTTTATTATTAAGTGGATTATTTATCTACAGCACACAAAAAGCTTTCTCAACGAGTACAAAGAAGAGACAAACGAAACATTCACATTCACTGCTATTGGCTACAGTATGCACTATGCTGCAGGTCAAAGTGCACCGGTGCAAGAGTGACATTGATCGAAATAAAAATGAGAAAGGGCATGTACGCATAACCATGGAAGTGCCTCAAAGATCTCAGGAGCTCGACTCTGTGGTTGCTATACCAACAATCAAACTGAGTCAAAAAGTGTTTTGCTGCTCAAGTCAATAACATCTTGAGAACCAATGCCTAGCATCTACAGAGAAAGCATGTGTCACACACAGTCCATTCCAAATAACCTGAACTGCTTATCAAAGAGATGATATATACACCACTATATGCATACACAGCACTATGTTTGATGTTTAAGCTATTGTGGTAGAGTTGAGCTCCCCTGAACACAAAAAGCATTCACCTACTATCAGTGGCAGTGCAAAAGTACGACAGAAGTCAGAATGAGAGAGGAGAGGAGGGGTGAGACACAAACACACCCACCCATACATGTGCACACAACTCGATAGAGAGAAAGTAGAGATGAAAGACAGGATGAGAAAGAATGAAAGATAGAAACACAGAGAGTAAAGCACACATATTTCTCACACAGGAAAGCAACAGAAGCCACACATACTGGCCCACAAAACGAAAAACCCCTGGTAGGTAAACTCAGGGGATAGACTGAAATAAGGTAAGGGTGAGCAATACTAAACCCCTTTCCTATAAGACTGTTAATTGATTAATACAGGATTTACATATGGGGACTGTGCTGGATTGGTCTAATATGACCTTTTGTATGAATTGTAGAATTAAATCAAAATATTCTTCCAATAATTTATCTGTGCCTGTCTGCTGTGTTGGACGTATTAAAGGGCAATACAGCCAATTTCAACCTCATATTAATTACAGTGAGGGAAAAAAGTATTTGATCCCCTGCTGATTTTGTACGTTTGCCCACTGACAAAGAAATGATCAGTCTATAATTTTAATGGTAGGTTTATTTGAACAGTGAGAGACAGAATAACAACAAGAAAATCCAGAAAAAACGCATGTCAAAAATGTTATACATTGATTTGCATTTTAATGAGGGAAATAGGTATTTGACCCCCTCTCAATCAGAAAGATTTCTGGCTCCCAGGTGTCTTTTATACAGGTAACGAGCTGATATTAGAAGCACACTCTTAAAGGGAGTGCTCCTAATCTCAGCTTGTTACCTGTATAAAAGACACCTGTCCACAGAAGCAATCAATCAATCAGATTCCAAACTCTCCACCATGGCCAAGACCAAAGAGCTCTCCAAGGATGTCAGGGACAAGATTGTAGACCTACACAAGGCTGGAATGGGCTACAAGACCATCGCCAAGCAGCTTGGTGAGAAGGTGACAACAGTTGGTGCGATTATTCGCAAATGGAAGAAACACAAAATAACTGTCAATCTCCCTCGGTCTGGGGCTCCATGCAAGATCTCACCTCGTGGAGTTGCAATGATCATGAGAATGGTGAGGAATCAGCCTAGCCAGTCTCCAGACCTTAATCCCATAGAAAATCTGTGGAGGGAGCTGAAGGTTCGAGTTGCCAAACGTCAGGCTCGAAACCTTAATGACTTGGAGAAGATCTGCAAAGAGGAGTGGGACAAATTCCCTCCTGAGATGTGTGCAAACCTGGTGGCCAACTACAAGAAACGTCTGACCTCTGTGATTGCCAACAAGGGTTTTGCCACCAAGTACTAAGTCATGTTTTGCAGAGGGGTCAAATACTTATTTCCCTCATTAAAATGCAAATCAATTTATAACATTTTTGACATGCGTTTTTCTGAAATTTGTTTTTGTTATTCTGTCTCTCACTGTTCAAATAAACCTACCATTAAAAGTATAGACTGATCATGTCTTTGTCAGTGGGCAAATGTACAAAATCAGCAGGGGTTCAAATACTTTATTCCCTCACTGTATCTCCAGCACCATACCAGTTCTACATACAGTACCAGTCATTTAGCAGACGGTCTTATCCAGAGCGACTTACGAATTGGTGCATTCAACTTATGATAGCCAGTGGGACAACCACTTTTTTTTTTTTATGGGGGGGGTGGGGGGTAGAAGGATTACTTTTATACTATTCCAGGTATTCCTTAAAGAGGTAGGGTATCAAGTGTCTCCAGAAGGTGGTCAGTGACTCCGCTGTCCTGGCGTCGTGGGGGAGCTTGTTCCACCATTGGGGTGCCAGAGCAGCGAATAGCTTTGAATGGGCTGAGCGGGAACTGTGCTTCCGTAGATGTAAGGGGCCTAGCAGGCCAGAGGTGGATTAACGTAGTGCCCTCGTTTGGGTGTAGGGTCTGATCAGAGCCTGAAGGTAAGGAGGTGCCGTTCCCCTCACAGCTCCGTAGGCAAGCGCCATGGTCTTGTAGTAGATGCAAGCCTCAACTGGAAGCCAGTGGAGTGTGCGGAGGAGCGGGGTGACATGAGAGAACTTGGGAAGGTTGAACACCAGACGGGTTGCAGTGTTCTGGATAATTTGTAGGGGTTTAATGGCACAGGCAGGGAGCCCAGCCAATAGCGAGTTGCAGTAATCCAGACGGGAGATGACAAGTGCCTGGATTAGGACCTGTGCCGCTTTCTGTGTAAGGTAGGGTCGTACTCTGCGAATGTTGTAGAGCATGAACCTGCAGGATCGGGTCACCACTTTGATGTTAGCGGAGAACGACAGGGTGTTGTCCAGGGTTCTTAATGCGTTTGAGCCAATTAGTTGTGTTGTGACAAGGTGGGGGGGGGGGGGGTATACAGAAGATAGCCCTATTTGCTAAAAGACCAAGTCCATATTATGGCAAGAACAACTCAAATAAAATAGCCCCAGAAAAATTTATAAAAAAATAATAATAAAAAAACAAAAAAATAAAAAATAAATACATTATTTTTTATTTTTAAGAACAGCTCAAATAAGCAAAGAGAAACGACAGTCCATCATTACTTTAAGACATGAAGGTCAGTCAATACGGAACATTTCAAGAACTTTGAAAGTTTCTTCAAGTGCAGTCGCAAAAACCATCAAGAGCTATGATGAAACTGGCTCTCATGAGGACTGCCACAGGAATGGAAGACCCAGAGTTACCTCTGCTGCAGAGGATAAGTTCATTAGAGTTACCAGCCTCAGAAATTGCAGCCCAAATAAATGCTTCACAGAGAGTAACAGACACATATCAACAACAACTGTTCAGAGGGGACTGTGTGAATCAGGCCTTCATGGTCGAATTGCTGCAAAGAAACCTCTACTAAAGGACACCAATAAGAAGAAGAGACCTGCTTGGGCCAAGAAACACGAGCAATGGACATTAGACCGGTGGAAATGTGTCTTTTGATCTGGAGTCCAAATTGGAGATTTTGGATTCCAACCGCTGTGTCTTTGTGAGACGCGGTGTGGGTGAATGGATGATCTCCGCATGTATTTCCCACCGTAAAGCAGGGAGGAGGAGGTGTTATGGTGTGGGGGTGCTTTGCAGGTGACACTGTCTGTGATTTATTTAGAATTCAAGGCACACTTAACCAGCATGGCTACCACAGCATTCTACAGCGATACGCCATCCCATCTGGTATGGGCTTAGTGGGACTATCATTTGTTTTTCAACAGTACAATGACCGAACCCACCTCCAGGCTGTGTAAGGGCTATTTTACCAAGAAGGAGAGTGATGGAGTGCTGCATCAGATGACCTGGCCTCCACAATCCCCCAACCTCAACCCAATTAAGATGGTTTGGGAAGAGTCGGACAGCAGAGTGAAGGAAAAGCAGCCAACAAGTGCTCAGCATATGTTGGAACTCCTTGAAGACTGTTGGAAAAGCATTCCAGGTGAAGCTGGTTGAGAGAATGCCAAGAGTGTGCAAAGCTGTCATCAAGGCAAAGGGTGGCTATTTGAAGATTCTCTAATATAAAATATATTTTGATTTGTTGAATATTTTTTTGTTTACTACATGATTCCATATGTGTTATTTCATAGTTGTGATGTCTTCACTGTTATTCTACAATGTAAAACATAGTAAAAATAAAGAAAAACCCTTTAATGAGTAGGTGTGTCCAAACTTTTGACTGGTACTGTATTTCTACCCGTCCCCTCTGTAACAAGTTTCTAGCCAGAGGGAGGGTATTTTCTTCCTCTCCATGTCACCACAAATATCATAGTATTTGAAAATCACTGTTTTTAAACTTCTGATGATGTCATCGGGTAGAACTTTATATTTTTTTCTACAGAAAGTAGAAATGTGCCGTTTTCACATATGTAGACACTGGTATTGTGCTGGAGATAATAAAATGAGGTTGAAAAGTGGTGGTTGCCCTTTCAATTACAGAGACTGGATTAGATGAAAACCTATTTTGTATTTATTATCCTAAGGAGTTTGACACCCACTACTGTAAATGTTACTAAATGGTTAGTAACAACTTTTCACATAGTGGGGATACTGTATGTGTCTCATGGTTTATCTCTTCGCCTTTAGTGGACATCACCTCACAGGCTGAGTTTGCTCCAAATAAAGTAGCTATGCCCAAAGAAAGAGGGGGAGGGAGGGAGGGGACTACACCAAAGAGATCAGATCGTTAGCAAAACAAACTAAAGAAACAAGGGAACACTGCAGAGCACAGAGATTGGCTGGAGGTCAAGCCAATGGGAAGACAGGTCGAGCAGAGGGAGTGGCTACCTTGTAGGCGACTCTTGGCGGACATTTCTTTCCCAAACCTAAGGGTGGGGACATGTGGAGGAGCATCTGATACATATCAAGGTACTTGATACGGCCACTTCACAGAGTAGGAAACAAAAAGCCAAATAAAGAAGGATGGGGAAGTTAGAGAAGGAGGAGAGGAACAAAATATATATATTTTTTAAAGAAACCAAAATGAATAAGAAAAAACAAAAACAGAAATCTGTGTTATTTAGATTTCCAGTAGCGACATGGAGATGGATGCCATCTTTGGCCACGGTGGGCCAGGGATGCATCGGTGAACTCAGCTCAGGAGGAAGTGAGCTGCTCAGATCCCTGAGGGGAGACATGGGATGGAAGAGTGAGTCTGGAAGAGTGAGAAGAAGAACACACAGGGTGCTAATGGGGAGAGAATGACAGCATTGTACGTAGTGAGGTTGTCGGCTTCTGCATGCTGAGAGACATCCAGGGGGGGTTCACCAGAATCACGGAAACAAAGGTTTCAATGCCAGACTTGTTTAAATCTTAATTAATTAAAGCCTTCCTTTCTCTTTACAATGTTTACATCTAGGATCCCAAAAACACATTACAGCACGTAAAGACGTTGATCCAATTCAGATGTGTTCAACATCTGAATCTAGTGATCAATTTAGGACTAAACATCCGTTCTTAATGTTTAATCTAACTGTACATAGATAGGAGACGGAACAGGTACAAACCAGAATGTGTTCACTGTATACCTCGACACACCATATAGAAAGTAAGCATTGCATAGGGATTCCAATGTTAGGCAGAGTTGGGGTTTAACATGGCTTTGAAAGCTTTGTTTCCAGTCCGGCATCATTAACCAATGCCAGTCAGTCTGGAAGGGCGGGTGCTAGTGTGTAGGCGAGTCATTGGTGCACAGCCATTCACTTCAGTCTCTTGGCATAGGAACACAAAGCGCCCTAGTGGAGGAAATGTTCTGGGGTTGCAAACCTTGTATGCTACCCTATTAGGGCAGTTCTTCCCTAAGCCAAGGGGGGGCGAGATAATTCGTAACAAGTTGTACATATCGTTATAGCGAATCCGTCCGCTGCAAAAAGAACAAGCAGATATAAAACAACAACTTCAGGACAGCTTCAAGAGAACAATGATAATCAGAGGGCTGACAGGGTACTAGGAGGTATTCTACCATACCATACCCTCTACATGGGACTACATGGAGGATTGTCAAGAAGGGATTAGTCAGTCCCCTCCATACTAGCAGCTGTAATACTAGATATCTATCTGACTGGGCACAGAGGCAAAGTAGGAGCCCCAGCCAGCCAGATGGCGGAAGGGAGGGAGGGAGAGAGACACATACCAGGCAGCAGGGTCGTACTCAGCCCAAACACGGATGAACTCATCCAGATGATGAGGCCCCAGTATAGACGAGTCTCGAGTCAGGTACTCAAAGTTATCCATGATGACAGCCACAAACAGATTGAGCATCTGGAAGAGACGTTTCACAAGGACTTATGAGAAGAGACACAGTATGCTGGCACAAAAGACAGCCAACTAGTTTTGGACAACACTAACTACTAATCCTATGTTTCAGATCATTGCCGAACGTTAACATCCCTTATTACCAGACTGCACATCAGCAGAAAATCGAACAGTTACAGTGTATGTGTGTATGTTGGATGACATCAGTACTAACCAGGAAGGAGCAGAGGAAGATGAAGGAGACAAAGTAGAAATAGGCGAAGTCGCTGCCACACTCCTTCCCCAGGTTGCCTGACCTCTCATCGCAGGCTCTGTGACTCAAACACGACAGCATGATCTCATGCCACGCCTCCCCCGTGGCACTCCTGGAGAACACAGGGGTGGACAGACAGACAGACAGACAGACAGACAGACAGACAGACAGACAGACAGACAGACAGACAGACAGACAGACAGACAGGAGACGGAAGGACAGACGGACAGAGTGACCTTTGAGATTACACAGAACATCTCTAACTAAGTTATTTTGGAAGATGGTCACAGTGTACAACTATGGTGCCTTAAGATGTTGCTAGCTATATACAACCCCTGGCTTACAGAGTTACAGGAGAGGTAGAGGAATGGAGAGGGAGAGGGCAATTTTAATAATGTTGGTGCTTCCTAAATCAGAGGAAGGAGTGACTAAGGAAAGGGTGTATTTACCTGAACAGTAGCATGAGGGCCTGGAGAAAAGTGCGGAAGTTGTTGTGGTGAGTGATGGCTGTGTCCTCGTTGAGCTCAATGTTTCCAAACACCTGGAATAGTAAGGGATGGATTATACCCACAGATCACGACAGTTTATGCCTTATATTGCAGAAATATTTACGTATTCAATAAAAAACAGAATTTCACACCATTTTACGCTGTAGGCATATATAATCCAATTATTTTGAGGAAAAATGTTCAAGGAAGTCCAGGAGGGAATGTCCATATTTGGAAAGAATGGAAGCAGCACCGACCTGCATACCAATGATGGCATAGATGAAGAACAGCATCGCTATCAGAAGGCAAACATAGGGTAGGGCCTAGAAGGACAAGAACACTGATCAGCAAAGTGCTCTAAATACAAGTACTGTATACAGTATACTGTGTGTGTATGTGTATGTGTGTGTGTATGCGTGTGTTGGTGCATGTGTGCATGTGTGAGTTTGTGTGTGTTACCTTGAAGGACTGGACAAAGGTCCAGAGCAGGATACGGATGGTGTAGCCCTGCCTCAGCAGCTTAATGAGACGAGCTGCTCTGAACAGCCTCAGAAAACTCAGATTCAACAGCCGGTCCTGTAGGGCCAGGGGACAAGGACACAGTCAACATTACAGCCTATTCACTGGAGACATTCAAAATATGACCCCAAATTACTACATATGACAATGATGCAGACGAAACAACATGATTGTATTTGGCTGGTCCTGGTTCAACTTGCTAAAGGAGGCCAAACAATACATACATACAGACCAGTTCACACAGTGCTGTAGATCGTGTAAAGAATGGAAGGATAAAGATCAATGAGACAGGAGGGGTAGTCACTCACCGTTGTCTATAACAGCAGTTGTTTAACCGTAGCAGATGGTAGGCACATCAGTGAATACATTGAACAAGAGGACAATGCAGAGAGAGGGACAGGGAGTGGCAGAGAAAGACAGAGAGAGCGAAAAAGAGAGGGAGGAACAAGGAAAAGCAAGACAAACAGAAATAGTAATGACATATAGAAAGCCCGTAAAAGCTCAAAACACACCACTTAAATCAGTCAAAGCATTGGACAATGATACAGACATCTGGACAGATACTCTTGGATACTGGACAGATACAGATACTGTATCAATATAAGTTTATAACATGAATAAACAACTACTACAGGGCGTGAGAGAAACATGTTGAGTGATTCACATAGAATCGCTCAGAATATTACTAGATCATAATGACACACACACACACACACACTGTTGCACTCAGCTGGACTCTGAATTGCCTCACATTATCAGATCCCATATCAGGCATCAGTGATGAATCAATAGTGTTAACATGCAGCTCTGTTCACAAACTCTCCCTCTCCCCCTCTTTGTCTCTGCTATCAGTCCCACTGGACTGGAGCCAAGACATCTTTGCTGAGATGGCTATTTAGCACGTTTGAGCCTGTGTACAGGCCAGGCCCAGTCTGTATACACAAACTGTCCATACAGCCTTAGGTCACTGCATGTCACTCATACTATTCTGCCTCATTAGCAAGTATTGTAATGTATATAGAGGAGAGTGGAAGAAGCACGGTTTGTGCTGCGCTGGACTCTTAACTTACATTGATTTCTGTGACCACGATGTCAGTTATACTTCCCAGCACTGTCACAAAGTCAAACACGTTCCAGGCATCCTTCAGGTAATTCTAGAACGAGAGGGATTGAACATCACTCACAGGCTCAAGGCATGCATGAATTCAATAAGTATCAAATCATTGATAACTTTTGCCATACTGATAGCATGCAGATAAACAGGAAGGCCAACAGTGAACCCACCAGCGGACCGAAGGCGATGATCTTCAGAATGCATTCCAGAGAGAAGAGGGCAGTGAAGACGATGTTGAAGTGCTTCAACATGGCCTCGTAGAAGTCTGGAGCTCCATGGAACTGGTGCAGGGAAGGAGAGAGAGAAACCAGTGTTACCAGTGAACCAACCAGTGAAGAACAAACACCATTGCATATACAACCCATATTTATGTTGATTTATTTTCCATTTTGTACTTTAACTATTTGAACATCATTATAACACTCGACATAGGCATAATATGACATTTTAAATGTCTCTATTCGTTTGTTTGTAATGTTTACTGTTAATTTTTTATTGTTTATTTCACTTTTGTTTATTATCTATTTCACTTGCTTTGGCAATGTAAACATCTGTTTTCCCATGCCAATAAAGCCCTTTGAATTGAATTGAATTGTGAGAATCACTTGATAAGCACATACATCTTAAAACAGCAACACTGTATGAGTAGGGCCAGAGTTTTCCCTGACCACGCAATCAGACTAGGAAAAACTCCAGGCCCTTGTTATATCCTACTATATTTTCTGGTGAACGAGACAGACTGTACTAACCTTCATCATGAGCACCACGGTGTTCAGGGCGATCATGATCATAATGGAGTACTCAAACGGAGGTGACACCACAAACTTCCACATCCGGTACTGGAAGGACTGCACGTTCTCTGGCATGTAGCGCGTCAGTGGCTTGGCATTGATGGCAAAGTCAATGCAGGCTCTCTGAACAAAGCGAGATGGAAATGAAAAATTACATCCAATGTTCTCTTTCATAATCGCCACCCATTTCCTCATTATCATCATCATGGTCATCAGCACAATCATCAGTCGTCAATCCGTCACTCTTTCAACCATTGCCTTCATTAGGACCATTGCATCTGTATCATCAACTCAGGGCAACAGTAGCTTCTCAGAGGCAAATACTGTGCAGAAAACCACCAATATCTAACTAGACAGCAAGCAGAGAGCCTTTCAGAGCCATGTGCAGTGGAGATGTATGAATCCAGACAATGAATACATAGCTAGCTCCTCCTGGCTGTGTTCTGGTTCCAGTTAGCTGAGTCAAGTTAGTTCAGCATACGGACAGACACAGACAGAGGGACATACACTGAGTATACCAAACATTAGGAACACCTTCCTAATATTTAGTTTCATGAGGTAGGGGAGACGGGGGACGGCTCGCTGGCTTTTTGTCCGCCTGTGGAACCACAGATGGGGCTCCAGAATCAATCGTGGACCTGTCACACTGGCCCTCAGCTGGGAGGCTGTACTGCAGGCTCCACTGCAGCCTCACTGCCCCAACACGCACAACTGAACCCAGCATCAACAACAACAGCAGTGAGAGAGACTGTACCTGCACTGAGTACTTAGCCTAATGTAAGGGTGGGGCAGTATGATTGGTAACATCTACAGAGCATAGTGAGCATAGTGAGCTGATGACCAACAAATCACAAATGGAGAGAGGAAAAATAGGAATTGTTATTGCTTTGCTTCAAAGTGAGTTTTCTCCTGTTCTGTACACTCTTAGAAAAAAGGGTTCCAAAAGGGTTCTGTGGCTGTCCCCATAGGAGAACCCTTTTTGATTCCAGATAGAACCATTTTTGGTTCCATGTAGAACCCTCTGTGGAAAGGGTTCTACATGGAATGAAAAAGGGTTCTACCTGGAACCAAAAGGGTTCTACCTGGAACCAAAAGGGGTTCTTCAAAGGGTTCTCCTATGGGGACAGACGAAGAACCCATTTTGGTTCTAGATAGCACCTTTTTTTTTCAAAGAGTGTACTGTACCTCATTTTTCTCCAGGCTGCACTCTGACATGGCCTTGTCTCCCTGCTCCTGGAAGGTAATGATGATCAAGGCCACAAAGATGTTGACAAAGAAGAATGGGAAAACCACGAAGTAGACCACGTAGAAGATGGAGATCTCTATACGGTAGCCTGGACTGGGACCCTGGTCCTCAAAGGTAGCGTCCACAGAGTGCTTCAGAACACTGGAGAGGAACACAGGAACCATGCTGTCAGTATATAGAACCACTCACCACAACAGCCAACTGTGGTTAAACTGCTACAACAAGTTTCCTACAGCAACTACAATATGACTAAAACCTAACTGGAAACGAGGACACCATTTCAAGTTCTATGTCTAAAATTAGGGACATAGTCAATTAAAAGCTTTTGTTTAAATGTAATAGCCATGTGATTAATGTTCAATGTTGATGATGCAAAGGTCCATTTTCATCAGCCGTGTTAAAATAGTCCTTACAGTAATAGCCCAGCTGAGAGAGAGCCTGGCCACTTAGCCCTCCGTGTTATGAGGACTGAGTCTTGTTTAATGGACTTCTACTCTGACCTAAATGACTCACCAGTCCATCAATTTTACATATCATGCATCACTGGATTATTTAATAACATAGCTAATTCAATGATTTCATTGAGGAGGACAGAGGAGCCGGAATAAGAACGAGAATTATGAACATGCCGGAAATTACACAGACGACCCTCTCTGGAGTGCTGACCCGACAAGCTTCAATACGATATTAAAGACAATTACAGAGACTAGCACAGCACATTCTCAGAACATATCCCCAGGGCAGGGTTGTTCACCCTCTATTGTTCTAGGACTGGGTCTTTCTATAAATAATGGGACCAATGTGTGACATTGGGATTAAACAATTATAATAAAGAAATAAAAAAATGATTTTCATGCAGTTCCACATAGAATAAAAGTGAATATATTTAAATTGGTCCATAACTCCACCTATACAACAACATAGACCTAGGACTATACATCCTTTAAGCAGGGTTCATACAGACATTGGCATGTCAAATTCAAGCACTTCATTGTAATTTTCAATGACCTCAATGTTATACAATTGTATAATTTATTTAATTGCACATATAGGGCCTGAAGAAAGTAGGCCATTACCACTTTAAGAATAATGCATTTGTTAAGTCTTGCCAATGCATTGATATTCAAATTATTATTACATTCTAAAATATGTGAGAATAATGTGGATATTGCCTGACTAAATAGATTAGATGCATGCATGGCGATTTTTCTGTAGCCTATGAGGCCAATGCAGGCACACATAACAAAGCCATGAATAGTGGTAGCATTAATCTCACCATTTGAATCTCACCATCACTGTTTTTTTAATGAGAAAGTGACCAAAACCAGGTTCCTTTTTTAATGGAAGGATTTGTATGGAAAGCCAAGTTGAAGACATATGTAAGTCTGTCTGTCTGTCTGCAGGCCACAGCACATTCTCAGAACATATCCCCAGGCCTGTTCACCCTCTACTGTTCTACTGTCTGTCTGTCTGTCTGTCTCTCTGTATCTGTCTGAGAGCCACATCATATTCTCAGAACATATCCCCACCAGAGACCGCTACTGAAAAGGAGCCTGGAAAGTGTACTTACTCGGGCCAGCCCTCTCCGGTGGACACAGTGAAGAGAGTGAGGAAGGCCCACAGCACATTGTCATAGTGGAACTCATACTTCTTCCACACCCGAGGCTGGGCGGCCACCTCATCTTTATCGTAGTCCAGGAAATTACCTCTGTTTAGGGGAGAGAGAGAGAGAGAGAGAGCGAGAGAGAGAGCGAGAGAGAGAGAGAGAGAGAGAGAGAGAGAGAGAGAGAGAGAGAGAGAGAGAGAGAGAGAGAAAAGAGAGAGAAAGAGATGGAACAACTTACTGCACACATGAACACATACAGGAATATGAATACTCAGATACTCCTTTGATTAGATTGACAAGACACTGCCCATGTGACAAATCAATAAGATACCCAAACAAAAACACAAAATTAATGCAATTATCTTCAAAGCAGCACTGGACTGTTCTTCTCTCTATGGGGGAAGATACACTATATATACAAAAGTATGTGGACACCCCTTCAAATTAGTGGATTCTGTTATTTCAGCCACACACATTGCTGACAGGTGTATAAAATCGAGCACACAGCCATGCAATCTCCATAGACAAACATTGGCAGTAGAATGGCCTTACTGAAGAGCTCAGTGACTCACAGTCATAGGATGCCACCTTTCCAACAAGTCAGTTCGTCAGATTTCTGCCCTGCTAGAGCTGCCCCGGTCAACTGTAAGTGCTGTTATTGTGAAGTGGAAACATCTAGCAGCAATAACGGCTCAGCCGCAAAGTGGTAGGCCACACAAGCTCACAGAACGGGGCCACAGAGTGCTGAAGCGCGTAGCACGTAAAAATTGTCTGTCCTCGGTTGCAACACTCACTACCGAGTTCCAAACTGCCTCTGGAAGCAACATCAGCACAATAACTGTTCGTCGGGAACTTCAGGAAATGGGTTTCCATGGCCGAGCAGCCGCAGACAAGCCTAAGATCACCATGTGCAATGCCAAGTGTCGGCTGGAGTGGTGTAAAGCTTGCCGCCATTGGACTCTGGAGCAGTGGAAACGCGTTCTTTGGAGTGATGAATCACTGGCAGTCCGACGGACAAATCTGGGTTTGGCGGATGCCAGGAGAATGCTACCTGCCCCAATGCATAGTGCCAACTGTAAAGTTTGGTGGAGGAGGAATAATGGTCTGGGGCTGTTTTTCATGGCCGCTTAGTTCCAGTGAAGGGAAATCTTAACGCTACAGCATACAATGACATTTTAGACGATTCTGTGCTTTCAACTTTGTGGTAACATTTTGGGGAAGGCCCTTTTCTGTTTCAGCATGACAATGCCCCCGTGCACAAAAGTGAGGTCCATACAGAAATGGTTTGTCGAGATCGGTGTGGAAGAACTTGACTGGCCTGCACAGAGCCCTGACCTCAACCCCATCGAACATCTTTGGGATGAATTGGAATGCCGACTGTGTCGTGGAGAATTGTCCTTATTCTTAATAAAAACCAAAGTATTCCAGAGATTTTGTAGAAGTAAGATAGACTTTATTACAATTAGACAAAAGCCGAGGTGGTCTGCAGAGCATCTGAATTCCAAACACTTTGCCCTCAGTTTATATACAGTTCTATTCCTGCACATTTTACATACGTTTTAGCTTAATCCCTCCCTGTTTAGTTCTTCCACCATTGTCTCCAAATCTCCATCTTTTGACCGCTCCGCCCACTCTCTTAATTTATGATAGTGGCGAAATCTGACTTCTCTTCCTCCTATGTATTCAGACTTAGAAACATCCCATCTAACCCATAACACATTATAAAACATTTCAATCAATACTTAAATATGGTTTAAACATGGCAGGTCCATAACCCATTCTCAACCATATACATTTAAGACATTCCTAGCAGTATAACCAGTTCTCAGACATGTACAGTTCTCATGGATAGTGTATATTTCCCACACATAGTAAGAATGAGCAGGCCCATTCCCAGGAGCCATGTCCTGACTCTGTCTCAGGCTCCCTCCTTGTACACTCTGTTTCACTTAGTCTAACTGCTTGTCTTTGTGATTAACTAAAGTTTCAAAATATGTAACTATGTTCAACCTGTAATTTTAACTTATAGTTTACTTGGGAGTCTACTGAAAAATGGGTTTCTTTCCTGTCTATCCACATGTCTGCTTGGTCTCCTTTTCATATCATACCGGAACCTCCTCTTTATCCAAACAGCCACCCTCCCTGGACCTTGAGCCACTATGGTTTCTTCTTGTGACTATGTGTATGTGGCTATGTGTATTGGGTCAGGCTATGTGTATCGGGTCATAGCGCACAAACAAGTGATAACGTTAGTCTCCACACAGCTGCACCCTTGGAAGATTGTAAAAGACAGGATGAACTGAAAAACGGTGGTCACTCTGAGGCTCTTAGTCCTGACCGTGTGACCAGGTTACTCAGAATCAACGACAAACAATATAGGTCTATACAGGTCTATCTGTTCCTGAAGTTTATCTCCATCCCATGTCCTTGACTACACACCCAGACCAGCTGCAGGGAGCTAGAGGGAACCATCCTTTCTCAGAAGCACAGCATTTGCACTAAATAAATGTCTCTACTATTGTTTAATTGGTTCTTAATCCATAGGCATATAGAGCATATACAGTCGTGGTCAAAAGTTTTCAGAATGACACAAGTATTAGTCTTCACAAAGTTCGCTGCTTCAGTGTTTTTAGATATTTTTGTCAGATGTTACTATGGTATACTGAAGTATAATTACAAGCATTCCATAAGTGTCAAAGGCTTTTATTGACAATTACATTAAGTTTATGCAAAGAGTCAATATTTGCAGTGTTGACCCTTCTTTTTCAAGACCTCTGCAATCCGCCCTGGCATGCTGTCAATTAACTTCTGGGCCACATCCTGACTGATGGCAGCCCATTCTTGCATAATCAATGCTTGGAGTTTGTCAGATTTTGTGGGTTTTTGTTTGTCCACCCGCCTCTTGAGGATTGACCACAAGTTCTCAATGGGATTAAGGTCTGGGGAGTTTCCTGGCCATGGACCCAAAAGTTAGATTTTTTGTTCCCCGAGCCACTTAGTTATCACTTTTGCCTTATGGCAAGGTGCTCCATCATGCTGGAAAAGGCATTGTTCGTCACCAAACTGTTCTTGGATGGTTGGGAGAAGTTGCTCTCGGAGGATGTGTTGGTACCATTCTTTATTCATGGCTGTGTTCTTAGGCAAAATTGTGAGTGAGCCCACTCCCTTGGCTGAGAAGCATCCCCACACATGAATGGTCTCAGGATGCTTTACTGTTGTCATGACACAGGACTGATGGTAGCGCTCACCTTGTCTTCTCCAGACAAGCTTTTTTCCGGATGCCCCAAACAATCGGAAAGGGGATTCATCAGAGAAAATTACTTTACCCCAGTCCTCAGCAGTCCAATCCCTGTACCTTTTGCAGAATATCAGTCTGTCCCTGATGTTTTTCCTGGAGAGAAGTGGCTTCCTCACTGTCCTTCTTGACACCAGGCCATCCTCCAAAAGTCTTCGCCTCACTGTGCGTGCAGATGCACTCACACCTGCCTGCTGCCATTCCAGAGCAAGCTCTGCACTGGTTGTGCCCCGATCCTACAGCTGAATCAACTTTAGGAGACGGTCCTGGCGCTTGCTGGACTTTCTTGGGCGCCCTGAAGCCTTCTTCACAACAATTGAACCTCTCTCCTTGAAGTTCTTGATGATCTGATAAATGGTTGATTTAGGTGCAATCTTACTAGCAGCAATATCCTTGCCTGTGAAGCCCTTTTTGTGCAAAGCAATGATGACGGCACGTGTTTCCTTGCAGGTAACCATGGTTAACAGAGGAAGAACAATGATTTCAAGCACCACCCTCCTTTAAAAGCTTCCAGTCTGTTATTCTAACTCAATCAGCATGACAGAGGGATTTCCAGCCTTGTCCTCGTCAACACTCTCACCTGTGTTAACGAGAGAATCACTGACATGATGTCAGCTGGTCCTTTTGTGGCAGGGCTGAAATGCAGTGGAAATGTTTTTTGGGGATTAAGTTCATTTTCATGGCAAAGAGGGACTTTGCAATTAATTGCAATTCATCTGATCACTCTTCATAACATTATGGAGTATATGCAAATTTCCATCATAAAAACTGAGGCAGCAGACATTGTGAAAATTAATATTTGTGTAATTCTGAAAACGTTTGACCACGACTGTAGGCATTTCATTGTACAACATGCATAACGCATATAATTGGTTTGTTATGTTATCTAATTAGTTAACTAAAAATCTCCCATAACTGCAAGCCAGGCCTAATCGCCCAACATCATTGCCGATCTCACTAATGCTCTTGTGGCTGAATGGAAGCAAGTCCCCGCAGCAATGTTCCAACATCTAATGGAAAGCCTTCCCAGAAGAGAGGAGGCTGTTACACAGTGCATTCAGAAAGTATTCAGATCCCTTGACTTTTTCCACATTTTGCTACGTTACAGCCTTATTCTAAAATGGATTAAATAAACATTTTCCTTCATCAATCTACACATAATACCCCATAATGACAAAGAAAAAAACGTTTTTTTTTTTACATTTTTGCAAATGTATTACCAATAAAAAACAGAAATACCTTATTTGCATAACTATTCAGACCCTTTGCTATGAGACTCGAAATTGAGCACAGGTGCATCCTGTTTCCATTGATCATCCTTGAGATGTTTCTACAGCTTGATTGGAGTCCACCTGTGGTAAATTCAATTGATTGGACATGCATTGGAAAGGCCCACAACTGTCTATATAAGTTCCACAGTTGACAGAGCATGTCAGAGCAAAAACCAAGCCATGAGGTCGAAGGAATTGTCCGTAGAGCTCCGAGACAGGATTGTGTCGAGGCACAGATCTGGGGAAGGGTACCAAAACATTTCTGCAGCATTGAAGGGCCCCAAGAACACAGTGGCCTCCATCATTCTTAAATGGAAGAAGTTTGGAACAACCAAGACTCTTCCTAGAGCTGGCCAAACTGAGCAATCGGGAGAGAAGGGCCTTCGTCAGGGAGGTGACCAAAAACCCAATGTCACTCTGACAGAGCTCCAGAGTTCCTCTGTGGAGATGGGAGAACCTTCCAGAAGGACAACGATCTCTGCAGCACTCCACCAATCAGGCTTTTATGGTAGAGTGGCCAGACGGAAGTCACTCC